CACTCTGATCAACAGTTGTATAATACCAGGGTGTTTGTAGTGCCATGTTGTGCATGGAAAGGTGTCCCTGCAGTCACCTCCGGTGGGCAACCCTGAGGCCACATTATGATGCAGGCTGTGCCAACTCCTCTCTGCCTACGTCACGGTCAATAACTGTCTGCTTCTTTTACTTCAGGCCTTCTCATCTTCCAAACACAATTCAACATGACTTACAAAGATCGAAAAAGTAATCCTAAACCAGCCACTCAAAAATCACCTAAACCCCTCAACATTTCGTTCTCCAGCATCCGTGGCATTAAAACAAACTTCTGCAGTATGGAATCTTTCCTCACTGCAAACTGCCCGGATATACTGGCTCTCTGTGAGACCAAACTTGTCTCGTCTATCCCCTCCTCTGATCTCTCGATCCCAGGCTACCTTCCTCTCCTCAGAAAAGACTCTCTAACCCACATGCACGGCCTTGGTGTCTACGTCAAGGACCATCTCCCTCTGGCCAGAGAGTTGTCTCTTGAATTGCCAGACCAGTCGTACATGTGTCTCTGACTATCTCTTCTCAATGCGGTAAGCTATCTCTTCTTCCTTTACCACTCTCCATCCTCTCAAAACTGTGGGATACTCGATAGCATTTCTGACAGCATAGACAAGGCTCTCTCCCTCCACCCGTTTGCTCACATATTTGTGTTTGGCGACTTTAACGCTCATCATACGAAGTGGCTAAGAATGCTACTACTGACCACACAGGCATTCAAACGCTCAATTTTTCAGTCTCTCACTCCCTCGCGCAGATAGTTAACTTCCCCACTCATTTTGTCTTCAACTGAGAAGGTAAAGCCTCTCTTCTCGATCTGTGTTTTACCTCCATCTCTGAGTCCTGTAGCACCACGCAAATCTGCCCTCTTGGTAACTCTGATCATGCTGTAGTATCTGTTAACATCTCCTTCAACTCCACCCCCTGCAAAGAACCTCCTACCACTAGAAATTTGTTTTACTATCAACGAGCTGACTTAGACGCATTCCGTGATTTCCTCCTTGATGTCCCTTGGGATGTTGTCTTTACGCTCACATCCAAGAATGTGCTTCTGAGGTCTCATCCTGGGTTAAAGCTGGAATCGATCCTTTCATCCCCACAAGGAAATATAGGGTCAAGTCGCGCTCCTCCCCCTGGTTCTCCGCTGCTTGCTCAGCCACCATCGCCCATAGGAACCACTTCTTTCACCTATTTTGTTGCGACATGTCTGACTGCAATAGACGTCTCTTTGCCTCCGCCCATAATGAGTGTAAGCATGTCCTCAACGATGCTAAGTCACTATTTGCTGCTCGGATGAAGGAGCGTATTGCATCTCGCAAATTTGGCTCCAAAGATTATTGGCGTCTCTGCAAGAGCGTACTGAACAATTGCAAAGAGTTAGGACTCCTAACTACCAGTCGGAAATACCTCCTTTGTTCAACCAGTTCGAAGTCCTGACCTCCTCTGCTGACAAGGCTGAATGCTTTGCTCGGAAATTTTCATTCAACTCAACGCTCAACCTGACATCCCTCTTAGAACTGAGGCCCTATTGAGTGGGTTACACATAACCCCGTCTTTGGTATTGGGCATTATCTCCAATTTAGACCCCAACAAGGCTAGTGGCGGAGGTGGGATACCAGCCATTGTCTTGAAGAAATGCGCGCCTGAACTGACGATTGTTTGACCTAATACAATCATTCCTGTCAAACTGTGAATTGAAGGTCATTCTCGACGGTTTCTCCTCCAGTTCCTATCCCATGAACGCAGGTGTTCCTCAAGGCTCCATCCTAGGCCCCACTCTATTCCTTATCTACATAAATACCTTCCTGACGCCATAAATTCCCAAGTTGGCATCTACGCGGATGACACCACAATTTATTCCTGCCTCAAAAACAAATCTAGTATCACTGACAAAACTAACCTGGCCGTGCGTCTCGAAAAGGACCTCCAATTGGTTGTGAACTGTGGCAGGAATTGGCTGATCAACTTTAATGCCTCAAAAACAAAACTGCTCTCTATTAATCACCACAGAGATCCTTCCCTGCCCTCCATTAGAATGTCTGATGCTCAACTTCTCGAGATCACCTTTCTGCGGCTGCTCAGTCTCACGTTGACTGCTGACCTGAGATGGAACAAATACATTGAGTCAATTGCTTCGTCCACCGCAAGGAAAGTTGGCTCCCTGTGCCGCGCCAGGAAATTTTTCTCCCTGGAATCGATCCTCCAGATCTACAAATCAACAATTCACCCTTGCATGGAGTATTGCTGCCATATATGGTCTGGAGCCCCTTCTGTTTGCCTTGGGGTTCTTGATAAGCTCCAGAGGCGAATATGCAATATAATTGGCCCTGCTCTGGCATCTCGTCTACAGTCACTTTCTCACAGATGCGTCATCACCTCTCTCTGTCTGTTTTACAAATACTTTCATGGCAATTGCTCCGAGGAGCTGCATTCGCTGGTTCCCAGATTTCATGAGTTCAAGCGCCCTATGAGGCTGGCATCCCGCTCTCACCCTTTCACTGTCGAAACTCCTAAATGTAGCCGTCTCTTCTACTCCAATAGCTTCATGTCTCGCACCTCTCGCCTGTGGAACTCCCTTCCCTATTCCAGTTTCCCTGAGAGCTATAATCTCCAGTTATTTAAATGTAATGTCAATAGACATCTCCAGTTGCCTTGATCTATCCACTACCCTTCTCCTCATCCTTTCTTCTATCACTCCTATCTGATCTTGCTCCAAATTTTCTGTAACCCCTTGCATCCTAGTGGCTTCTCGCCTTGCTTGGGGTGAAACGCTTAAAAAAAAAAAAAAAAAAATCTAAAACAATAAAAGACTTAATACAAAACAAAATAATAAACTAAAACTTGGAGGAATTTACTCTATCACATGTAATGATTGCCACAAAGAATAGATAGGAGAAACCTCAAGGAATTTAAATAAAAGATTATATGAATACAAAAGGCATCTTTTACAAAACAAAACATTCAATGCATTAACTGCTCACCATAATTAGACTGACAATAACTTTGATTTAAAAATGCTACTATAATTTAAAGGGAAAGAAATTTTCTAAGACCCAGACAAAGGCAATCCATCACTTTCAGAATGCCTCACCCACGAGGCACTCTGGCCAACCACTGACCATTTTGGCCCTACCCTTTGCATTCTGTAACAAGAACTACAAATGAACTAAGAATGAAGAGATGGCAAAGAAAGACACAAAACCGGCGAGGGTATTAAAAGAATGAATGAAAATAAAAATAAAAACAAGATATGGAGAAAGAAAAAAAAAGAAGAAAAAAGTGAAAGAAATAAAATGAATGATAAACCAAGTGAAGAAAATGAACAGATCAGCAAATGACGAAGAAAAAAAGGTACGAGGAATATAGAGGTTAAGTCACAATGACAGAGAGTAGATGTGCAGAATACAGCATGAGAGAATACTGTCGATAAATAAAACAAAAATAAATTAGATAGACAAAACTATATAGAAGGTGCTTTAATTGCATGATCATCCACAGTAAATTTGCATCTAGATACTTATAAGATTTCTGCATTCTTAGCAGCTCTTCTTATCCAAATGTTGGATACGTAATAACAAAATTGATAAAAACAAAAACAAAAGGTTCTTACAACATTTCCCCATTCATGGCAGATCTTCTATTATCCAAATGTGAGATATTTAATAACAAAATTGATAAAGGCATAAACAAAATAAAATAAAACATATATAAAAAAAAATAATTAAATTTAAAAAGTTTAAAATTTCAGCATCCCCTTTCTTTTGTGAACATGTGTCGTTACATTAATATAAACACCATATAAACACCAGAAAAAATGTATGACACAAAAAATTTTATGCATTTTCTTATTAATTTTTTTATGTTGTCTTGATTGTTCTTTCTTGTTTTTATAGGATAGATAAAAATGAAAAAAAAAATATTTTGAAAAATTGAATTAAATGTCCAGTATTAAAAATGGATTTGTAAGTTTCAAAAGTTCAAATATGCAAAAATAGGTTTCATTTTATTTTCGTTAAAGGATGGACAGTGGATAGGAGCAATGAAGAAGTTAAAATAAAATGAAAGCTAAAAGGACACTTCTACTTAGAATCAGAAATAAACAGAATTTTGAGGACACATAATGAGAAAGGAGGGCTTGGAGAATTTAATACTCACAGAACATATTGAAGGCAAGAGAGGCAAAGAGAAACAGCAAGTAACCTACTTGTATATATGAGGAAAGAGGGTTTGGAGAATTTGACACTCACAGGAAAGAGAGGCTGTGAATCAGTAAGTAGCCTACTTATGGGTATGAGGGCTTGGAGAATTTGACACTCACAGGACATATTGAAGGCAGGAGAGGCAGGGAGAAAAAGCAAGTAACCAACTTGTGTAAATGGATGGCAGAACAAGGAAAAGGAAGTATAGTAAAATAAACAAGCATTGCTAAGACATATAAAGGATAGGAAGCTGTTGAGTGGCATGACTACTTACATCTTGAATGGGAATAGTACATAAAATAAGAAAAAAATGCTTTTAATTCATACAAATATGATTATCATGTAAATTTGACTTGCTACTTGCTAAATACTTTTTTTTGTTTAGTGGCATATAAACACATCTATGGGTTATTTAATGCCAAAATCTGAATATTTTGTACGTAATTTTAGTTATTTCTTTGGGGAGAATATATTATTATTACTGAGTGAGAGATAGATTGATTTGTTTTTTACAGCTTATCAACCCTTTGCAGGTTATTTAAAATCAGAAAATATTTTAGATTGTAAGAAATGTTTTTGAGATAATAATAATAATAATTTTGTGATACAAGTCATGCTACTTAACCCATAGCTGGAGGGAGAAGAGGTGAATTCATACCTTTTTCAAGGGTATTTGCGCATAAGTTAATATAACTAACCTAACTGAAATTGGAACTCAGCTCTCCAATTAACAATTCCAAAGCATTATCCATTACACCATCCTCACATCCAAGCTTACAGCACCTGGTACTCCCAAGTGGTCATCTATCTAGGTATTGACCAGACTCAATGTTGCTTAACTTTGTTGATTGTATGAGAACCAGTGTTTCAATGTGATGTAACCGTAAACCTGCTAAATATTAAGGAAAATAATTTTGTCAGGTGTTCAGACACAGCATTGTATTAAGAGATGGTTAAAATTTATATGGGGGATCAGTTTATTACTTAAGAACAACAGAAAATCTATCCCCCATTTTAAGTTCAGAAGAATTTTATATTAATACTAGTTCATGCTAATATACTTGTGTACCAGTATGAAATGTGGTTAAAAGCAAAAAAAGGAACGATAATTTTGAAAATGTAAGTTTCCTTCAGGATTTGAAATTCAATTTGTTAATTTGAACAAAGGAAAATATAATGTTAACAGGTATGGAATGTGTGTACATGTAATGAGTCATTGGAGTTTGTTTGGTTATCTAAATCATCGGGTAACATATATGCTCCTATCAAGAATTGAAGTTAATAGGTTAGTGGACAGTGTTAAACAAAGCTTCCTGATACCTATTTTCAAAGAAAACAAAGACAGTAAGAAAGAAAAGGAAGAAATAGAGAAATACTATACTGAGAACTGTAGGGCAAAGCCAGATGATCTTCCTGTGAAATTCTTAGCCGGGTAAAACCAGAGTCCCTTCTGCGTATTGGTTCGTGGGAAGGATGAAGAATCTAATCTTGTAAAATATTCTCCAACAGGTGGAAATCACCCCCCTAATGTGCTCTGCCCTTCTTCAGAAAAATGTTAATTTTTATATAAACAGATAGTAGCAGTTGCCAGAAATATATAGTTATCAGGAGAGGGGTAAGGAAAATAATTTTGTAAGGTGTTCAGACACAGCATTGTGTTAAGAACAGAACAAAACCTCAGCTCAAACCAGAACGACTGTTGCTGCTGATTGCTAATTTTAAGCTGTTTCTCTTGTGAATGAACTTACAATAATTCAGGAAGTTTGACAACACTTTATTTTTTTTTTTTCATTCTCATGGATCCAAAAGGGAACTCATACTAAATAATTTAATTATTAATATTTTTTAAAACTTTCTCCAAGCATTTTATTGACTCATGAACTTTTTAAAAGATTGTTGCTGTAATGTCTAGCTTAAGGAAAATAAATCTTCAGATTCGCCTTTATTCCGTCATTTTATCATCAAATCTGGTGTTACATCATTCTTTATTGATTTTGACATTTGAGGAAACCTGAGACGACATTCATAGATGATGCATTGAAATTTACCATGGCACAATTTTGTTACTTTTAGTAGCAAATAGCAACACAACGTATTTAATTCCTTGTGATTGAGCAGACCCAACTTTGGCATTGAGAAGATCTCTTCAGCAAGGGATCAAGGGACAGTTTTGCCTTATGACAGTAACCAGATTGAAGTTGATGAAATTAAGGTCACTTGTAATTCACACAAATATTATGACTAAAACCAGAAACTCCTTGTCATTACTTGATGGAGGTGTAGGGTTGCTAAATATTTAACTGCTCCATACTTCAAGGAGCTCCTAAACAAAAAATAAGTAGGTACTAAGTAACAAGAAGAGAGAACATCAAATACTTTAATCACATTTATTACATATATCACAACATATAACAAACGACACAACAAACAATAGCTCATTACTCACAATGTGTCTGTGTCCTTGTGGGGATTTCTTTACCTCTCAGCAGGTGGATAGGGTGTCTGGTTAAGTGGGTGAAGTTCACCTTTTTATATTTCCTTGTGATTTCTCAATATCATGTCTAGTCTTTGTCACTGCCAAACTCTCTTTGTTTCTAGGAGAGTCCAAAACGCAGGGGGAGGGGGTTGTCATGTGACCGTTTGGAATGGGAATTTATGAGATCCCAAAATAGGTCTCATAGGGCTTTGTATCCCTACAGCCATAAGGTTGCTCCCCTGTGTCCTTTCTATAAATATTTTCATGATAATTGTTTTTAGGAGCTCTATAAGTCTACCATTCATTCATGTTTTGAATATTGCTGGCACATATGGTCTGGTGCCTCTTCTAATTAAGTTGAGATCCTTGATAAAATCTAAAACAGAATCAGCAATATTATTGGTCCTTATTTGGTGGCTCAGCTTCAATCACTTTCCCATCGCTGTGTTGGGGGAGTTAGATATTTAACTGCTCCGTACCTTGAGGAGCTCCCAAACAGAAAATAAGACGGTACAAAACAACAAGAAGAGAAGACACCAAATACTTTTACTACATTTATTACATATATCACAACATAAAACAAAACATACAACAAACAATAGGTCATTACTCAAAAAGATGTCTTTACCCTTGTGGGGATTTCTCTACCTTTTGGTTAGGGGCAGGTAAGGTACCTAGTTAAGTGGGTGAAAATCACCTTTTTATATTTCCTCGGGATTTCTCAATCAGTATTGTATCTGTTCTTTGGGAGTCCGAGACGTGGAGGGGGGGGATGGTTGTCATGCAACTGTTTGGAATGGTAATTTTTGAGATCCCAAACTAGATGTCATAGGGCAGTGTATCCCTACAGAGGGATTCAGAAGGCTACTTGACTAATCACAATAATTTTAACTGCCACTTGGCAAATATTAAGGAAAAATATTTTGTAAGGTGTTCAACTCCTCCACCCCCCACAGTATTAGTAGAGGGATAAGTTATTTTTCAATTAATATGTAGTAATTCAGGGGGTCCAGTTTATTACTTAAGAGTAATAGAAAATCAATCCCTCATTTTAAGTCCAGTATAGTGTTTAAACATTCCATGGTACTTACAGAAGATTAAAAATATTTTTTCCAATTAAGATGTAATTCTTAGAGTTCAATTTTCTATTGCTCTTAATATGGACAATAGAAAATTGATATCCCATTATCTTAATACTAGTTTATGGCATTGTACTTGTAATTCACACAAATATTATTACTAAAACCAGAAACTCTTTGTTGTTACTTAAAGGAATTCAAATAGCTACTTTTCTAATCATAAAAATCTAAATTGCCACTTGGTAAATAAAAAAAATATTTTGTAAGGTGGTATTTTTTTTATATTGTGTATTTATCCTAGGGGATGAATTTATTACTTAGGAACAATAGAAAATAGAAACCCCATTTTAAGTCCATATATTAATACTAGTTTATGGTTATATGCTTGTAATTGTTGATACACATGATGACTAAATTCAGAAACTGCTTGTTAATTAGCAGAGAGATTCAGAAGGTTGCTTGACTAATGAAAATTTGATGTACCACTTGCTAAATATTAAGGAAAATAATTTTGTAAGGTGTTCAGACTCACCATGGTATTAATAGATGGTTAAAAGCTATTTGGGGGATCAGTTTATTACTTAGGAACAATAGAAAATAGATCCCCCTTTTTAGATCCAGTAGAATTTTAATATTAATACTAGTTTATGATCACATGTTTGTAACTGACACAAATGACTAAAACCTGAAACTTATTATCGTTACTTGACAGAAGGATTCAGAAATTTGCTTGACTAATCAGGAAAATTTAACTTGCCATTTGCTAAATATTAAGGAAAATTATTTTGTAGAGGGTTCATTTACCCCATTGTATTACCTATTTACCTCATTAACAAGTTGAAATTTTAAAGTCAGTATAAAGTTTATAATCCTTTTCATGGCTGTTGCTGTGGTACGTGCTCCTAGTTGGACTAAAAGCAGTGGCAAGCAAAATTTACTCATGCAAACATTGAGTTGTCATTGTTAATAGAAATGCAAGGAAATGAAATAAATTTCAACAATAATTTATATTTATACATTAAATCAGGATAGATTTGCATTAAGGTATTTTTGGTGCTTTTCATTTGTTTTTGTTATATACCATACCTATGAAAACTAATGGGTATGTCCCATCCTCATACATATGTTGGATACTATTGTAAGTGCGGGTAATATGCTCTCTCAGTAGTCCACCTCTAGCAGTGGTTTACCAACTTCCCGCCGCTGGTGAGTATTGTATTTTATTGACATTATAAAGATTATCATTTCATTTCCAACTTCCATTTTGGTTATTCTTCATTCAGTAACCTTTTTTAGGTTAGAACAAAAATGCATTGGAAAGAATTTTTACTATGAAAATACATTGGAAATGATTTTTTACTATGAAAATGCATTGGAAAGGATTTTTACTATGAAAATGTATTGGCCAATGATTTTTACTATGAAAATGCATTGGAAATGATTTTTACTATGAAAATGCATTGGAAATGATTTTTACAATGAAAATGCATTGGAAAGGATTTTTACTATGAAAATGTATTGGCCAATGATTTTTACTATGAAAATTCATTGGAAATGATTTTTACAATGAAAATGCATTGGAAATGATTTTTACTATGAAAATGCATTGAAATGATTTTTTACTATGAAAATGCATTGAAATGATTTTTTTATGAAAATGCATTGGAAATGATTTTTACTATGAAAATGCATTGGAAATGATTTTTACTATGAAAATGCATTGGAAATGATTTTTACTATGAAAAGCATTGGCCAATGATTTTTACTATGAAAATGCATTGAAATTATTTTTACTATGAAAATGCATTGGAAATTATTTTTACTATGAAAATGCATTGGAAATTATTTTTACTATGAAAATGCATTGGAAATTATTTTTACTATGAAAATGCATTGGAAATTATTTTTACTATGAAAATGCATTGGCCAATGATTTTTACAATGAAAATGCATTGGAAAGGATTTTTACTATGAAAATGCATTGGAAAGGATTTTTACTATGAAAATGCATTGGCCAATGATTTTTACTATGAAAATGCATTGGCCAATTATTTTTACTATGAAAATGCATTGGAAATTATTTTTACTATGAAAATGCATTGGAAATTATTTTTACTATGAAAATGCATTGGAAATTATTTTTACTATGAAAATGCATTGGAAATGATTTTTACTATGAAAATGCATTGGAAAGGATTTTTACTATGAAAATGCATTGGCCAATGATTTTTACTATGAAAATGCATTGGAAATGATTTTTTACTATTAAAATGCATTGCAAATGATTTTTTTACTATTGTTATATACCGTACATATGAACACTAATGAGT